TTATCTCGCACACCAGGCTAGACTGGAAGACCTTCTCAAACTCCCTTGAGTCTCAGCCCTTCAGCACAGCGGTTTTCAACCTCTTGGGTACGCTGACCCACGAGTCCAAATGTACTTGGCATGGTGACCCACTCAGAGCTTGGCGCCCTAGGCACAAACGATGACTGTGGCAGAACTAGATGGCACCCATCTGGTTCAGCATTCTTTTTTCCACAGTGGCTTAACCAGATGTTTTTGAGAAACCAACAGACATCGCACAAGGGGGCGCAGCTGCCCCCAGGACGAACCCCAAGCAAGTGGCATTCCAAAGGATTTGGAACATTTGCATATAGAGGTTACATTCCAGCCTTTGACCACCTTTCCCTTCTCCATTACTCCCTCTAATCCCCTCTAAGATTCTAAGAAACTCACTCTAGCAGCCAGCAGGACACGTTTTACTTGACCAGCATGTATATGCAGTGAAGAAAAGACACCAGCTAATGTATGACATGGAAGATACTGTTTCCAGGGTCAGATCTTGGTTTTCAAAATACAAAAGAGAGCATTGGAAAGGGCGGGGGGGGGGCTTTAGGGAGGGCTGGCCCGTAACCCACTTTCAGAGGCTTTGTGGCCCACAGGTTGGGAAACACTTTGCAGACAGTTGTGTTATTAAGACAGAGTCTCAGTCGTAATGAGAGCCCAAAGCATGCTTCCCAGAAGGAGAGAAATGAAAAAAGAAAGACTGTAGGGCTCTGGCTACCAGAACTCTATTCTCGTTTTATGTTTTGTGGTTCACTGGGCATCGCGGCCATGCAGTAAACAGATTCCTCTGCCTCTGGGTCTTGTAGAGAATCATGATATCCAGTTTGGGCTTTGCTTTTGAGTACTTTTATGAACACCTCATTCGTTCACATGAATTCATTTGATTTGCTTCAGAAGCGTGAGAATTTTCTGTATTGAAAAACAGATCTGCAAGTGTGATGACGTCCGGCATTGGGATAAGTGAGGTCTTTCCATATGTTTGGGATGGATGGTGACGGTCCTCGTGTGTGTGCATGCATGCATGTGAGACAGATTTATTAAAGGAGGCAAATTAATAGAAGCCTTTCATTTCGGGGGGGGGCAGATAAATAACCCCATCACAACTCATCTGTGAGTATATTAATCACAGGAGTCATTGAACACTAAATCTAAATAAAGTGAGCTATCAGGGAAGAGCAGGGCAAACAAACATTGCAGCTGTTATGTAGAGATGAATAAATCTTTTGCTTTACAGTATTGGAGGCTCTCTCTCCTCACCTTATCGAGCCAAAGTATAGTTGGTGTGAATCATGGGTTCTGCCACATTGCCTTGTTACTGCGAAAGACATAAGTTATCTTAGGCCCACCTGTCCCCGGGATGGATGTTCAGCTCCCCGGCAAACGTTATATTTAATAACTTCCTGACAGCCCACGCTGTTGTCCCTGGCCTTCTACGGAGGATTTCTTCTTTTCATTTCTCGTTTCTTTCTCTTTTTTATTATCAGCCCCACGTAGTCAAGTTTGTAAGCCGTCTCCTTTGAAGAAATCTCCCATCCGTTATACACCTCCTGAAATCCTAAAGGATTAGGGAGATGACAGTCTCCATCCATCTTGAGGCAGCAGAGCAAGTTGCAGTGTTTATAGATAACACCAGGTCCCCCTTAGCTGTGGCGTCTTCTCTCTCTCGAGTTTCCTTAATTCGTTTTCTGGTTGCTTAGACCCGATTCACTCGATCACTTTTCGATCATCCCACAGTGAGGTCTGCCTGGAGGTTCAGCTAGTTCTGTTTTCAGAACACATCTAACATATGAAGGGATTTCTCGGTTGGCAAATTCACGTGGTAAGGGTTCCACCGAACAGGGCCTTGGGAAAGCGCCAGGGTTATCAACTGGGGAGGGAAGCAAAGCATGGTGAGGGCCAAGATCCAGGCCCGCACGGTCACCACCACGATGTGATGGGGAAAATGACCACGTAAGGAAGGAATAGTGGTAGTGCCAGTCTGTGCACAATCTCATTAACCAGCATTTTCTCGTGAAAGTCAAGCCATGGGCAGTGATGTGATTTTTCCCGGAACATTTGAATATTTTCTTATTCAAGTTTAAATAAATATTAGAAATAGTTAAGTAGCGTTAGCAAAAGGAGGCAAATATACCCTGTACAAGCCTGGACCATGTACAAGCAGTGGGGCTTGTCCGTGCTTCAGGTTCCACAGTCCATCTAGCGTGATCGATATGCAGGGCAGCAGCCCTGATAACTATAGATAAATGGACCATATTTATATAGGTGGGGCAGAACATCTTCCATGGAAAAATACCACATGAGAAAATTTTCCACCCCGTCTCACCGGCCATGGTTCATCTCAGTGGCCACTCTGTTGAAAGTATAATCCAACAAGAGGGGAGCCTGCAAGATTTGCAGGGGGGGATCCCATTTCCCTGTCCCATCGCCTAGCCTGGCCATTGCTCTGGGCCCCACCACCCACCTTTGAGCTCGGTGGTTGCAGCAGCGGGGCATAGGAGTTGCTCCTGGTGCCTGGGAGTCTCTCCCAGCATCCTCTGCCATGGTGGCTGGGCCCAGAGCGGCTTCTGGTGTCCGCCATGGTGGCCATGCCCAAAGCCTCTCCCAACATCCTCCACCGCAGTAGCCGGGTCTGGAGCCCCTCCCAGCATTCTCCGCCACAGTGGTCAGACCCAGAGCTTTTTCTTGCATTCACCACCTCAACAGTTGGGTCAGAGTGGCTCCCTGCGGCAACCACCACTAGCTCAAGCACCGGAGTTACCCCGATTCACAGATTTAGGCAGATGAGGACTTGACTGTGCTCTTACAGATATGGATACATAAGGGTAACTTTAGTTTTTGCAGTGACAGACATCTGAATATGCGCATTCAGTTCCGAGTGTACAATGACTTGCGTATGGATTGATGCAGACACCGTGCACATCAGTCTTTAACAAGCCACTTGCTTGCGTGGGAATACTTGGCTGTATAGAACACCCTCCTCAGAAGGACTTTAGAAACCAGGTTAATTCGTAATAAGAGAAGGCTTGTAAATGTGAATGCTCTCTGGTCTGATCCTTCTGACACTCACTTCTCCCCCACCCCTTCTCCGAAACTCCCATTTCCCCCCTCCAAAGTCCTGGAGTAATTCGCTGAACATCGGAACCTCATTTCCATCTTCAGGTTGCACTGGCCTGCAATGAGACCTCTTGCAGAACTTCAGTTTGTTCATCCAGATTACTAGATACATCCTCATGTAGCGCTTTAGCACATAGCTCCATAGTTTGGAAGAGTTCAGCTTTTACAAATTGTCACACCTAACTGCCAATGCTGTTGTGGGGCGGGGGGGGGGGGGGGGTACACACACAAACATCCACACTTCAGATGGCTGTGGCCGAAACAAATGCAAACCAGGAGGGGGCTAGATAAGATTGGGAAAGCTGCAGGGAAATAGATAATGCCCAAGGATAATCTGGATTATCGACCCCAGTGGACCATTTATCATTTATACATCCCATGCTTTTTCACTTGTATATCAGATTCTGCCTATCGCTGATAAAGGACGCTAGTTTGACTAGCCTCAGAGTGAGCTGATAGCCTGCTTTATCCCACAAGGCCAGTGAGCCTGGCCATCCTTTGAGATGAGGAGTCACAGAGAGGCAAACTCAACTCAATTCTTTTTAACCACCTCTATGATTCAAAAAGGGGGATTGGGAAGGAACACGCAGCTGTCTCCTACTTCAGAGCTGTCTTCTGCTTTCCACTAAGGTCTGGGCTGTGACCCTGTTTATTTCATGACCTCACATAGCGTGATAAACTAAGGAGAGCTGTATCCTATACACAACGGCAAACCGGTAGCTTTTTGATGTGAGACTCTGCCCCAAGATCGTTCTCTTGGCCTTTTGTAAAGTGTGTTTGATGAAGGAGCTTTGACTCAGGAAAGCTCATACCCCCAAAATCTAGCAGATCTAGGGCTGAATCCAGACAACATTGGCAGTTTCTAGCGATTTCCCCATCCAACCACAGACCACCCCGCCATATTATTCCTCAGGGTCCCCAGTCCCCGAGGAGCAGCCTTTTGTGGATCGTTGGCGACATTAGGGAGGAAGCAGGAATGTTCTGTTCCACCAATGGAGTTTAGCCTGGATCCACGCTCCACAAACACTAATGCATGCACGCACTAAAAAACGACTGACTTCCAACAATACACACAACACTGATAGAGAAGAGGAAGGTACCTTCCTCGGCATGGCATTCCAAAATGATGGTGTTTCACATGATAAACCCCCCTCCTTTGTGGTCACCTGCACCCACCGTAGTCCTGACAGTGGATTAATGGGACACGCAAAGGAGGACTTCGGATAAAGACCTCGGTGCCCAGGTTGGTCTGTAGGAAATATCAATGTGGTGGTGTTTCCTAAGCCCCAAAACGTTCAGTACTGCTGTAATGTGTGTAAGCGGGGAAAATGAGGGGCAGAATTCTGAACCAGCTCAAAAGAAGTTAGCAGAGCATTTGTCTGTTAAAGCAGACCTGGGAGCAGGGGGACAGTCCATTTTCTATCCACAGCCTACCCAGCCCTGCTGCCACAGTTTTGGAACTAATTCTTCCCCTGACCCTCCAGTGCCTTCCATGTTGAGGCACTTCAGAACTTCAGAGCCAGTTTGGTGTAGTGGTTAAGTGCGCGGACTCTAATCTGGGAGAACCGGGTTTGATTCCCCACTCCTCCACTTGCACCTGCTGGATGACCTCGGGCAAGTCAGTTCTGGCACAGCTGTTCTTGAAAAAGAGCAGTTTCTGTCAGAGCTCTCGCAGCCCCACCTACCTCACAGGGTGTCTGTTGTGGGGAGGGGAAGGGAGAGGAGTTTGTGAGCCGCTCTGAGACTTCCTTGGGTAGTGAAGGGCGGGGTATAAATCCAATATCTTATTCTCTTCTTTCTCAGTATTTTACTTAGGGTTATTTACTTCATTTATGCCTCACTTTTCTCCCCAATGGGGACCCAAAGTGACTTACATCCTTCTCCTCTCCTCCACTGTATCCTCACAACAACCCTGTGAGGTAGATTAGGCTGAGAGTATGTGATTGGCCCAAGGTCACCCAGCAGGCTTCCATGGCAGAGTTAGGGTTTTGAACCTGGAGTCGTAATCTGAACAGATCCTAGTCACCACCGTACCATGCAGTATGGAGGTAAACCAGTTCTCTGCTGATCATGCACACAGGTAAATTCCATAAGTGTGTATATAGTGTGCCAAATTCCTAAACTGCTGCTTGGAGGAGAAGAAATTTCTAATTTTCTTTTGGAGGGCTGGTTTTTTGTTTTAAGAATGTCATAGTCTGGGGCATGGGCAGTTGGGATATGGGAGAATCAAGTGCAATGATGTAGGAAAAGGAGCATGAGAAGCAAATTATGGGGAGTGAAGAAGGCCTACCTAGTGGCAGCTCATTGGTGTCTAAGGATGCATATTTCACGTGGCACAGTGCAAGTTACCAGACCCTAATACTTGCAGTCAGGGTGGTTAAAGAGAGTAATGAAATATGGATTTTTCTCCCCTTTCAGAAAATCCTTATGGGTGAAGTGGGGATTGTTACAGGCCCCAGGGTTCTGTGGTTGCTCCCAGTTTGTTTAAAACAAACCATCAAACAGAAGGGCTTTTTGTTAGCAGAAACTTCAAACATTCCCCCCCCCTCAAGAGGCTTAGCAGCTAGCTAAAAATGCAAATAAGGATCTTAGCAAGCGACTGTCACCGATGTAGCAGAGCAGCTAAGAGTGTTATTGGGAGCCAGAAAGTTCCTGGTTCAAATCTCATTTCCGCTTCAAACTGACCGGGTGGTCTCAGGCAAGCCATTATCCTCCTAACCTCAAGACACACAGACACACACATTCCGCCGTAGGCCGTATTTATTATTTGTTTATTATTAATTTAGACTTTTAGACCACCCTTCCCTGCAGGCAGGGCTCAGGGCGGTATAGAAAAAGGGAGTCCTGGGTTCCCATCCCAGAGAGGTGTCATAAGAAGGACGTTGTGCTGACGTACGGTGAAAACACTTTGAAAGTGCTATATCAATGCTCAGTATTAACCCACCAAGACAGGTCACATTTCGTGGCCTCAGACTTTGTCCTTCCGCATTTCTGCACTCATTGCGGTGTGTCTTGCGTGGGAGGATCACGAGCAGACATCAGGGACAGGCCAGTTCGTGACTATGGGTTGGATCCCGTCCGCTTTTCCACTGCATGTCACTTCCTTTACGACAGCCCCACATCCCACACGACTTTTATCCATGCAGGTCCCATGATCCCCAGCATAGCCTTTTTGGTGGTCAGAGGAAATCCCATCTTCTCCCTGTTTCACCAGCCAAACATCTGGTCGCATACAACCCTTCACCTCCTAAAAGTAAAGGGTAAAGGTTCCCTTGCTCGAAAGCCAATCGAGTCCGACTCTAGGGTTGCGGTGCTCATCTCCGTTTCAAAGCCGAAGAGCCAGCGCTGTCCGAAGATGTTTCCGTGGTCATGTGGCCGGCATGACTAAACACCAAGGCGCACGGAACGCTGTAACCTTCCCACCGAAGTGGTACCTATTCATCTACTTGCAATTTCTTGCTTTCGAACTGCTAGGTTGGCAGGAGCTGGAACTAGTGACGGGAGCTCACTCCGTCATGCGGCCCACTTGGGTCTCGAACTGCTGAACTACCGACCTTCCACAGCCTGCAGTTCAGCGTCTTAACCACTTGAGCCACCGCAGCTACACAGCGGATAAATATTTTCCAGGGGTTGTTTTTTGCAAGTGTATTGAAAGTATGACATATTCTGTCCCCAGGTTCCGCCCATCCCGCCACCACGCCCTTTGGACCATCGCCTCACCATAGCAGTTTCCTGCCTACTAGCCACCTGGCAGGTAGGTGTAAGTAAACCCTACCTTTCACATTTATCAATACGTTTAATATGTTGGATGTTTTGGTTTCCAGTGGATCAACAATGCTCAAAAACCCTAAAACGTTTGAGGATTGCGCAGGGGCTTCACCTCGGCTAGTAATTGCTAAGCAACCGTCCCTAGTCTCGTCAGAAAACCGTTCATAGATGCCTCCCTGTGCAAGATAACCTGATCAGACAAAAACGGTCCTCTCTAATTGCCATAGTTCTAAGGCCGTCTACTTCCAAAGCAAGTGGGGGCGTCTTTTGTATTGGAGCACTTATTAGTTGCCTTTGGAAAGTCTGCCAGTCTTCCTGAGAATCCCACAATGATGACTTCTATCCTCCAAAACAGAAATAGAGTGCCCATTTGGATTGCAGAATCCTCTCTAATCCTCCCGTATGTCGTGCCAGACAGCCTCAGCGGTGCTCACATTTAAGGGACAGGAAGAAAGAGGCATTGTTCTATCTGTGCAGAGGTGGTGCCGGAGTGACGTTTCTCTAGCTATGTGCCCATTTCTAAGCTTGAGTGTTGGCTTCCACTAGGCTGGAGGCAAACAAACAAAAAAAGGGCAGTTAAAATTACCCCAAACAAGTGCACAAATTCTCATAAGTTGCTCTCCAGATAATGCTCTAAGGAGGCTTATCATCCATCAGGGTGGGCAACAGGTGGTTCCCCCCACCCCGTGTTTCCGTACAGCCTCTGAACAAAGGGGGAGAGGCTGTGGCTCAGTGGTAGAGTACTAGTTTGGCATGCAGAAGGTCCCAGGTTCAATCCCCAGTGTGTCCCGTTCAAAGGATCAGATAGCAGATGATGTGCAAGACCTCTTCCTGGGACCGTGGAGAGCCACTGCCAGTCTGAGTAGACAACACTGACCTTGATGGACCCAGGGTCTGATTCAGCATAAGGCCGCTTCATGTGTTCACGTGTGTGTTAAAATGTAAGCATTTGTCTTACCACATCAGACCAAAGGTTCAGACACAGACAAGACAGCTCATTTATTTAGGTATTTGTAGGCCACACTTCTTGCCAGTGGGAACCCAAACAGCATTCTCCTGTCCTCCATTTTCTCTTCACAATAATAAATCTGTGAAACAGGTTAGGCTGGGAGAAGGTGACTGGCCCAAGGTCTCCCAGGGAGGATCCATGGCGGAACGGGGATTCGAACCTGGGTTTCCCAGATTCTATTTAGGGTATTCCTGTGCTGCCTCTTCAGAGTCCTGCTCGAAGCGGCTCACAGTTAAAAGTACATCATGATATTAAAAACAAGGCCCCATACTGCCTTTGCAAGCTCCTAATCTCTGGGCCTGGTAACTATCTCCTGTCGTGTATCTCTAACATCTAGTCACTGGAGGTGAACTGCCTCTGAATGGGGAAATTCCCAGTCTCTTGCCGTCCTTGTTCAAAGCCAGTTCGTAGGAGCAGAAATAGTTCTGAACGCCAGTGAACAATGCTTTGTGCATGTGTTGATCATTGTTTTAATGACGAAGAAATGGCAATTTGAACGTAGGGCGGCCAAAGTTTCCTAGCAGTGCCAAACTTGTCCCTGTTGCAGACGCTCAGACTTTTCCCAGCCATTTAGGGTGGTTGGTTTGGTCTAATTTGTGCATGCGCCACAGTGCAGCATTGCAAAGGCCTGGCGATTTCTGGGGCTCCCTCTCTCCAGTGTCATCTTACTTGTACAGGAGTCCTTTGTTATCCTATACTGCAGTTTCTCAGCTGTGTCAAATTCTTGCTTCATAGTTGGGCCTATATAGTGTGACTTAACACACACAATCCCAAAGAGAAAGAGAGGATCAGTATATCAAAGGGCATTTAATGCCCCCCTGAGGTTTCTGCAAAGGCCGTAGCTTCTCCTGCCTACCTACCACACAAGGGGGGGGGAATCATGTCAGAAATCAGTTTACAGCTTTCCCTTCTGCCCTTGCGATTCCAGGTGGATCTGGTTTCAGCTCAGTAGCTGTGCCTGTCATTTCGGCTCTTGGGCTGTTAACTTCCAGCTTTCCCTCTCCCTTTGGCACGCCTGGAGCTTAGCTCCAGCACCTGTTTTATGGAGTAAGCGCTCAAAATCCCTTCCCCATTTTTAACATGCTGGGAATTTTCTGTGTAAAGAACCTTGCAATGAGAAGGATCAGCTTAAAGTCCGGCCTAATCCTACTTGGATTCAGACTATTTATAAAAAAGAAAAGAGGGGGGGGGGAAGGAGAGAGAGAAGGGGGAGGGGAGGAGGGGGCGCGTTTCGTTTCTCCAGCATTCTTGGCTCAATGCCGGCTAAAACCCTGTTTGCCTTTCCAGATCCATTTAGCAGGTCAAGCACCTTCAGCGGCCTTGGGAACTTAGGCAGCAATGCCTTTGGAGGATTAGGCAGTCATACTCTGAGTAAGTACTGGCTGGGTTACTGCAGACAAACCTCCTCTCTAGAGAAACCACATGCTCACATTGAAAGCAGCTGCCGGTGGTTTTATTTAAACTTTAAAAAAAAAAAAAAAAACCTCTTTAATTCCTAACCTCCATCCTCCTTTTTGGGGAAAAACAAAACACTGCACCTAAGTGTTCCAGGTCTCTGTGGTGGGAGCTTTTCCACAAGTTACCCTTCATCCTTCCTCCACTGTGGGGTGGGCCGTGGCTCAGTGACAGAGCATCTGCTTGGCATGCAGAAGGTCCCAGGCTCTATCCCCAGCACCTCCAGTTGAAAGGACCAGGTAGTAGGTAGGTGATGAGAAAGACCTCTACCCGAGACCCTGGGGAGCTGCTGCCAGTCCGAGTAGGCAATACTGATATCGATGGTCCAAGGGTCTGATTCAGTATAAGGCAGTTCCATGTGTCCACCCAGCTACTGTGCTTCCCCTCCCTTTGCTCTCATCTTGGAGAAAGGCGCCCAGTTAACATCTTCATTTTCTTCCCGTCCCTTCGGTCCGCTCATTGGAACTGATTCTGAAAGGTGTGGGGTTGTGCTCTATGAAACCAGCCAAACTTCCTAAAACCATAATATTGGAACTATAAATTGTTTGTCTCAGCTAGAAGCCTTGGTAATGTCCAGAAATCCTCCTGGATTTTCACACTAAGCCAGTCCTCTCGTTTGGGGGCTTAATTCAAGCATTAATGACCCCCAGTTCCACAGAAGAAACACTAATGGGTGCTGCAGCACTGAAAATCTCAATCCAGGAGTCAGGGCTGCACCTAAGGGTTCCCAGTCTGGTTGTCCTGAGTAATATCAATTCACTTGAATCATAGAATCATAGAGTTGGAAGAGACCTCCAGGGTCATCTCATCCAACCCCCCCCCTGCACAATGCAAGAAATTCACAAATACCTCTCCCACACACACACACACACCCCAAGGACCCGTGCCCAGAAGATGACAAAAAAGCCTCCAGGATCCCCAGCCAAACTGGCCTGGAGAACAATTGCTTCCCGACTCCCAAAGTGGCCATCAGCATTTCCCTGGGTGTGTAAGAAAGGGCCACGAGGACTAAGCACTGATTGAACCCTTCCTGCCCTCCCTTCTCGTGATCTGCCTAAGTTCACAGAATCAGCATTGCTGTGAGATGGCCATCTAGCCTCTGTTTGAAGGCCTCCCAAGAAGGAGAGCCCACCACCTCCCTGTTTTGCATTAGAGGCAATGGCTGGCACTCTTAAGAGTGCACCCATGTGGACGTGTCACGTGTGCTATTGTGTCACAGTGGCTTTACCCGTGGCACCGTTACTCAAAGCAAACCTAGATGCGGGATATTGCAGCTTTAAGGTCTTCACGGTGTAAGCCAGCCCATTCAAAGATACTGTATGCAGTCATAAGAGGCAACCGTAGAAATCCCCACAAACACTGATCGCATCAAGGTCAGCCGAAAGTTATTTGAGCTCCTGTGTTCCATATTTATGGATCCCTGACCACAGCCGTGCCTCATGAGAGCGCCTTTCAAAAAGTAAATTGAAGGAGTCAAGCCATGAGAGTTGCAAAGAGAGTTGAAAGGATACAATTGGGCCAGTCTTTCTGGGAGAAGAGCCCGCTGGGTTGGGACTCGTTATGTTTGAACGAGGCTTCAAAAATACAACTTGCTGACTCTTCATAAAGGAAGTTGGTGTGATAAAAGGAACCGTCGTCACATGCGTTGTCTCTGGGACGGTAGAGCTGTACAAACTGTCGCCAGGGAATGTTGCTTTGCATCCTGTCAGATGGTTGCCAAAAGGGCTGTTGGATTCTGTTTTACCTGGCAGGCCTAGAAAGGAGCCCCTTTCCCAGAGCCAGCCCCCTCCCAGAGCCCAGCCATTTACCCCTCCATTCATCCTAGAGGTTATTTTGAGTATTGAAAAGAGTCCCCCAGTAGGTCGTGCTCTCCTGAAAAGAATGCTATATGGAGGACAGCTGGATTTGCCGATAGGAGCTTCTTCTTCTTCTTTTTTTTTTTTAAGGGAAGGAGCGTTAGCTGGCTGGAGAGGGAACCAAAGTGACTGATCTGTACCAGTGAGCCAGGGACAGAGAGAGCGAATCGCTATGTTTGGGCTTAGTCTGTTCACCCCAAAATCAAAGATCTTAATCACCGCTTCCCACTGCAGGTGGCTGATCGTTTTTAACTAGCTGCATTCTCTTTGTTAATGTCAGTGGCGGGGAGCGATAACAGTGCCAGTTTAGCCACAGATATCACAGTAGGGGAACTGGGTGATTTGGGAGTTGCCTCTTATCTTCAGAGCGAACAGCCTCATTACTTCCACAAAGTTACTCAGATCTGGAGTTAGCCTTTTTTTTTCTGCAGAGACTTGAAACGGCTGCTGTTTCATTCCCCGGTTATCAGAGCTCTCCTGCTATTACCATTTTTTAAGTGTCTTTTTCCCCCCCCTCCAGCCTTGAAAGGAAAAACTGTGCTGGTAATTGGCACTTTTTTGCTGAACTGATGTGGGACAAGACCTCTTTTGTTCAAAGGGGAAGGCAGTGAGTTAACCAGGTCTTTCCCCTTTGTTCCCAATTCCAGGTCACAACAGCATTTTTGCCCACAAAGAAGGGCCAAACCTCCAGAGCTTTAACAATCCACACGAGCCATGGAACAGACTCCACCGGACACCACCGTCGTTTCCGACCCCCCCTCAGTGGCCCAAACCCGGTGACTCCGAGCGGAGCTCCTCAGTGACGAATCATGACAGAGACCGGGAGTCAGAGAAGAGGGAACTTTCCACAAGCAAAGAGGACAGAGACAAGGAGAGGTGAATGGGAAAAGTTATATGCTGTGGAGAATGACCTCAGTTTTGTTTCGTTTTTTATTATTTATGTATGGGAAAGTCGTATGTTGCATTTAGAGTGTGTCAAGTAAATATCCCATAAGGGGTCTCGTTTGCATAATTTAAAGTCAACTTGGGAGTGGAGCATTTGTATCCAGTTTGCGTATCAAAGGTTGGAAGCTAAGCAGGCTGGCCATGGTCAGTCCCTGGACCGGGGACCAGGCCACGTGGCAGAAGGCGAGATGACCCACCATCTCTGCTCGTCCCCTACCTTGAAAACCCATGGTCCAGGGGTCACCCTGTGAGGGTTGCAACTTGATGGCACTTAATTAAATACATTAAGGAGTCTCATTTTGAATCATTTAAATTCTAGCTTTGGAATGGAACATTGGCATCCAGTTTGCATGTTGCAGTCACTACAAATTGCTACATACAACTTCTGTGGCCACAGGGGGAACCGTTCCCACATAGCCGCTCGCCTTGCGAACTGTTCTTCCGATAAATGTCGTACACATTTAAACAGAACAGTTTGGGGGGGGGGGGAGATAGTGAAAATTGCCCTGTTTAAGCACTGAGCTGAATCTTATCTATTGCTTGGTTCTTGAACATGTGATTTAAAATGGCCTCCACGTGCAAAGCTGTAACATGTAAAATGGCCCTTCAAGGGGATGGAGATGATTAGCTGTAGGGCCCCCCAAAAAGGGAGGAGAACAAATAAATGTGCTGCTGAGGAATTTTGTATGATTTCTAAGCCTCATTTGGCATCCGCTCTCTAATTTTGCTTGTGAGGACGACGATTCAATCAAATGTCCTAGAACTTTGCGCAGAAATGCTTACTTCTGCAGCGGGAGTCAGCTGGACCAAACTTGGTATCGCTGCTCAGTTTCTTCTTTTTTTAAACTGGAGGATTTCTGTTTTTTCCTCAAGAGGTTGGCAGGAAAAGTCTTCAGATGCACAGCCAAATGTCAGGGTGGCAGCCAAATTGTTTCTGTAGTTCCAAAGGCAAATGAGACCGAAGGATTGCAAGTCAAACTATACCCTTATAAGATTGTGTATAACTTGCTACTGTTCTTTACTCCTTGCCAAAGGGAATCATGGGAAACGGTCCCCCCCAAAAAAGATGCTATGTTATGCAGATTCGGTAGTTGCTCATTGGGTATGATTTTTATTATTCAGTCTGATCATAGCCATTGAGTTTCCTTAATAATTTGTCTCTCACACACAACACAACCCTGACAGGCCAACATACATTTTTGCTTGTTTTGGCTTGAGTGCCCCATCCTGCTTAAGTCTAGAGCACAGAGAGTGTTTATAAATCATCAGTATGATTCTCTTATTGCAAGCATTACTTGGTTCAGCTATTTTACAAAGATTTCAAGGTCAGAAACTTTCAGGCCCAGGCAACTAAAGTTTAAATTCAGCCAAGTGTCCTATTTCAGGCGTAGTTTTCTTGTTTCACATTACGCTCTTTTCAGGCATTTGGTATTCATTGTTCTTATAGTCATTCCAACTGGGTTCCAAAGATGTTAGCTTTTCTGTGGCTGCTGGAAAAGAACCAGCAATTTCCTTCCTTTACAATGAGGATATTACTGACAACATATAACTAGACCTGTCATAACTTGGCAGCACGCTAACCATATGATATATCTTCCTCCAGGGATCTTTTGGACAAAAACAGACATTCAAACAGATCCTCACCAGCTTCAGCTCCAGTGACTCACCAGATCAGCAACCTCATCCGTAGCAACAGCCTGACCTCCAACGAACCCACCAGACAAGTAGGACTCAGTGACAGAGAAAGGTCTAAAGAACCAGAGAGAGACATTCCCGACCGGCTGAGGGACCCTCCTCCAATCGTGGAGCACAAGATCAAAGAAAGCCGCTCTCCAGTGAAGGAACCACCAAGCCATGACAAGAGATCCTCAGAGGACAACACAAAGCCAGTAATTCAGTCTGTATCTCCCTACAGCAAACCTGCACTGAGCGAGAGCTTGAAACTCAGCAATTTAATGAACAAGGACATTGAAAGAAAGCCCGAGCTTCCAACTGACCTTCAGAAAATAAAAAACGACATCAAGGTCAAAGAGGAGCGCAAGGAGGATGGGGACGTTTTGGTTGTGAGCTCAGAACCTTCACAGCATTCCAGAACTGTTGAGCACCCACCGCCACCTTCCTTGCATGGATTACCACTGCCCCATACAATGGCAGCCACGATGCCTCTCTCCATGAGCAGCGTCCATCAGATGAACAACATGAATGTCCTGGACCGAAGCAGAATGATGACCCCATTAATGGGCATGAATCCCTTGTCGGGCAGGGAGAGGCTGCCCCATCCTGGGTTTTCTTGGGACCCAGTGAGGGACCCATTACGAGATGCCTATCGGAGCTTAGACCTGCACCGTCGAATGGACTTCCAGCTCCGAGCAGAACCCATCCACAGGTTCCCCACCACTTCTGGATTCTACGACCATGAGCGTTCTTACCGAGACAGAGAGCCCCACGACTATAACCACGAGAACCTGCTCGAAGCACGGCGTGAGCAGGAGAGGCTTCGACAAGTGGAGGAGAGGGAGCGGTTGCACTTACGGGAAGAACTGGAGCGTGCCAGGATGCAGCACTTGCACCCATCCCCTATCGAAAGTCACTTGGCACACGTGCCATCCTTCATGCCTCATCTTGGTGGGATGCATTACCCCAGACTCAGCCCCTCCGCAGCCATGCACAACGGAATCCTAAATAGGAACCCCCCGCCCACAGCCGCTTTGAGTGCCCCGCCCCCTTTGGTACCAGCCAATAGTACAAGACCTTCCTCTCCCCGCCGGACTACTCCACTCACAAACTCAGAATCAAGAGACTATTCTCCTTCTAGGAACCCCAAAGAAGTTGAGGCGCGATAATCCCTAACACGCAGGATGAATTTAAAACTCGCCTGTAAATATAGGAGGAGGGGAGAAAAAAATACCTTTTAAAAATGCACTGCTGTAAACTTTTTTTTTTAAAGACTGTAAAATTTGTAGAAATTAAGCACAGTTCCATAAATAATTTGGGGGTGGGACGGGGGAAGGGTCATAGGCTACAAACCTGCCAACCAGACGGTTGTTGAAAATGGAAATTTAATATATAGGTCTTTGATTTTTTTTTGTTCTGTTCTTGTTGGGTTTTTCTTTCTTTCTTTCTATCCTTTTTTTTTTTTTGCTTCTGTACTGAGTTAAATTACCAAGTTTGTACATTTTTTCCCAAATGTGAGAAACATTTTTAATGAATTTGTATTTTTTTTAATTTTCTGCTCTTTATTCACTTAAAAAAAAAAAGCATTTGTTTTGAGTTTGAATTTAGTGGCCTCAGATCCTTAAGTAAAACAAAAGCCACCCAGGGTTTCTTAAAGTATTATTTATGGAAATACTGCAGTTTCTTACAGTCCACTGTGAGGTTCCCGAATTGAGGCCACTCACTTCTCTTGGTACTTTGGAACTGAAGTTACAGATATATATTAAAATAATAATAATAATAATGTACAAAACCTATGTTTGTTTTTTGCCTTATATTATGAAGAAATGAGAATTTTTTTGACTTCTTGTTTTAAATGACAACAAAAAAAAGAAAACGATATGTAAATATTCTGTTAATATAAATGTACACCAATATTGAATTCTTAACATAGGTAGACTTTATAAAAAATGGTTTCTAGAACCACTCTTCTGGTTATTTGTTAATATTATTCCGATACGTCCTTGTCACTTCTTGGGGGGGGGAAATCTATATATATTAAAAAAACCCGCTCAAATAGCGGATTGTGGCATACGGCTTTCAACTATGCAAACACATTCTGGTGGGTGGGACGGGAAGGAAAACAGATATAGCCCCCTGCAAAAAAAATATATGCAAAACTGAACAAACATGTCTTTGGAAAGAAAATGGCACTAATTTGGGTGAAGGAAGCGAAGGGACCTCATGTCTGATTAAGCAAGGAAACCTGACAGGGCTAGTTTCTTTCCGTTTGGTTTCTTCGTACAGTCCAAAGAGGAGGAGGGCAGGACCCCAATGACCTGCCCGGACACAAGCTTCTGCAGTCCAGATGGAACTGATGTGACAGATCCCCTCATCGGTTCCCTCCCCCCCCAGCTCCTCTCTGCTCTCCCCCCCCAGCCCCCCGGCCTGTCATTGGTGTGGGCAGGCAGAGTCTGTTCATCTCCCAGTCTTCTTATTAAAAACCATCTACAAGAATAATAGGAGTGCGGGGTGTGTGTGTGTCAAATGGCTAATTAAACAAAATACACATTCCCCCATCATTTTCAATGCTCATTCTCCCTCCAGTGTATGTTTCAGTGAAAACCCTGCCTTGAACTGGGATTATTATTTTTTTTGGGCCATTGTTTTAAATCTGATTTCCAGTTTTCCTTTTCATATGTAAATTTTGCGGCTGCCACAGTGCCATCCAATAGCACGCAGAACCCATTTTAAGAAATTAAACACACACACCCATTGGCTATTCTGCAGCCGCTGCCACCACCCCAACAGCAAATTGGTAGAACAGACAGAGGAACCATGCATGTAGAATCTGGTGGTCCCGTGGCAACCGCATTCATGTACGGAGATATGCTCAGCAGCCTCCTTTCATCTGTGTATCGTACCCAGCTCGAGAGGTATCCATGTATTGACATTCTGTACCATCCTTCCTCCCCCGACCCCCCAAGTATTCATGTTTTTACATTATTCTGGGTTTCTGCTCTCCAGTTAACTTAAACATCTGCTAACATTTTCTTTCTTTGGATTTCTGTATTTCCTTCCCTTCTACCCCCGCCCCCATTCCCTGTAATTTTAAACATTCAGTTTCTTTGTAGATCATTGGAGATAAATACAACATTGATTTTGGATGAAAAAGGTATTTAAGTGTTTGTGTGTCAGATCTAGTCACAGCCACTGCCGGGAGGGAGAGGGAGAGTAAATGGTTTATTGATAAACGTGCTCGGCCTGTTAACGGTGATAAAATCTTTGGCAAATTCAGAGGGTCCGTACACCAATAAATAGCTGTGTGGCTCAACCAGGAGGTGACCCTTTGCTTTAAGCCACTTGCTTAGTTCAAGCCTGCTGTTCAACCATGGGCGTACAGAAGTTGTGAACAGGACTCAGAGTAGCACTGAAGATGCCAGAAAGCCATGATATCCACACGATAATGGATAAAGCAGGCCTATACATCAAACTCCAGAGATTTGTGATTCAGTGGGGGGGGCGGGAAGTATTCAGTATGCAGAACAATGCCCTGACCAGGATGGCTCAGGCTAACCCAGTCTCAGCAGATCTTGGAAGCTAAGCAGGGTCCACTCTAGTTAGTACCTGGGTGGGAGACCACCAAGGAAGTCCAGGGTTGCTACGCAGAGGCAGGCTATGGCAAACCACCTCCTTTTGTCCCTTACCTTGGAAACCCTATGGGTCACCATAAGTCGGCTGACAGCTCTTTCCATCACCATAGGGAACAAAGATACTAAAATAAAAATGGGAAACGAGATACATTTGAATACCATATACGGCGTATGTTGTGGACTGGGGGAGGGGGGCATAGCGCCCGTACAGAAAGGATAATGTTTTTATCTTGATAGCTAGAATCTCATTCGAGGGGTCCATTAAAAAACGATAACCAATTATATCATTGTAAATTTCAGATACATAAATTCTCTTTATGACCCCCACTCACTTCAGAGCATGCATCATTCGAGTCTGAGGCAGCTAATGTAGTACCAAAAGAAGGCTGCATCACTAGTGAAAACCACAGGTCTCCACTTTGAAATCCTGTTGCTGTACATACCGGACTAGTTCACTCGGCTTATAACCACCCCCAGTGGCCATTGTTTGGGGGGGGGGGGGTTCTGTGCCTGCAACTCACTTTATGCAGGTGGGGTCTGCCACACATCATCACCCTTACAGGCAGTCCATTTCTTTCATTGGTATGCAAACTAAAGTCAGGATAGAACTCAGCAACGTGTGCTCTTGTCATGCTGGACCCAGCAACTAATGGGACCAGACGGTGCAGCAGATTTATCCATGCCTCTAATGGAAAAAGGCAATTACAGAGTGTGTCCACCCTCCATGCTGGAACTATTGCCAGTTTGGTGTCGTGGTTAAGTGCACGGACTCTAATCTGGGAGAACCGGGTTTGATTCCCCACTCCTCCACTTGCACCTGGCTGGATGACCTTGGGCAAGCCATAGTTCTGATAAGAGCTGTCCTTGAAAAAGAGCAGTTTCTGTCAAGGGCTCTCTCAGCCCCACCTGCCTCACAGGGTGTCTGTTGTGGGGAGGGGGAGGGAAAGGTGTTTGTAAGCCACTCTGAGACACTTTTGGGTAGTGAAGGGCAGGGTATAAATCCAATCTCTTATGATTTTGAAATTCTAACCAAGATTCCTCTAACACCCAGCAAAAAAAAGTCAACTGGGTTGCAGAGAAGTCAACATAAGAGAGAATAACTTAGCCAGGCTCCAGGGAGCACAGGATATGCTTGGGTTTTGATATAGGCTGAGCGGCAAGGTCTTCTAAGCATCCCTGAAAACTCCACGTCATGAGTGACACCATAAAACCTTGTGATGGGCTCCCCTCGTGTGAACAGAAAACTGAAGAAGTCAAATGGGACAGGGCTGTGGCTCGGTCCTTACTTTGCAGGCAGAAGGTCCCAGACTGAATCCCCAGGATCCCCAGTTAAAATGATCAGATAGTATGTGATGTTGGAAGACTTCTACCTGAGCCCCTGGAAAGCTGCTGTCAGAGTAAACAGTTTTGACCACCTCTATAGACTAACAGAGGAGCTGCGGTGGCTCAAGATGCTGAACTGCAGGCTGTGGAAGGCCGGTAGTTCAGCAGTTCGAGACCCGAGTGTGCTGCATGACGGAGCTCCCGTCTCTAGTTCCAGCTCCTGCCAACCTAGCAGTTCGAAAGCAAGAAATTGCAAGTAGATAAATAGGTACCACTTCAGTGGGAAGGTAACAGTGTTCCGTGCGCCTTGGTGTTTAGTCATGCTGGCCACATGACCACGGAAACGTCTTCGGACAGCGCTGGCTCTTCGGCTTTGAAACGGAGATGAGCACCGCAACCGTAGAGTCGGACTCGACTGGCTTTCGAGCAAGGGAACCTTTACCTTTATAGACTAACAGACGCAATATAAGTCAATTTCATGTGTGTCTGATTAAGTCACTCCCTTCTCATTTTTGCCAGTAGACTTCCCTCCATGTAGCTAAATCATTCCTACAGAAATAAGAATGAGAAACGTTACTCTTCTACTAAATTATGACATAGAGGTTTTAGTGCAATTTGGGACAGTTTTCCTAAAGCACACAGACGCAGAAGCCAGTTCACCTCACGATTATTTGGAAACGTACTGAAAAATGAGTCTGTAAAAATGCATACTTCAATAGACATGATTTGCCTTTAAGGGGAGACTTTCAGGAGGGGTTATAGCCTCTTAAATTCGCACTGGTCGTACAAAGGCCAAGGAATCTGATCGGCTTAGCTTGAAAGGCTGTGCAGACTGCAGGCTGTTTCATTATTCCCTAGGGCTGCAGGCATTCATTCCTTTCCATCTTTCCTCCTCAACCCAAACCCAAACCCAAGCTGCTTCCTGAAGACTGGTGAGAGGGTTGTGGGTGGGGATATGCGGGGGGGGGGGTGCAACACCAACTGTGGTGCCACACCAGTTCTGGTTAAAAAATGGAAATAACATAGGGTACATCTAGGAATCACTGGAAACACTATGGTAAAACTACAGAATTTCTGGTAATTCCTAGAGCTACCCTATATTACTTCTACCAGAAGTGACAGCAACACTACATTGGAAAAAAATATTCTCATGCCACTATCTGGAGCAGTGGTGGACGGGGAGCAGGAAGCAGGGAATTCCCTCTCCCCCCCCCCCCCGGGGAAAGGAACTTTTTTCAGCAACTGAAAGAGCCACCTTGAGGCAAATGCGTTTGTGATGGTCCAAGGCTCC